ATGGAATACAGAAACATGTATATCTAATTAGTCCAAAAACTATAGTTTATATACAGAAGTGATTAGTTTGGATTGAAACCAATTTGATGGCTATCAAAATCCCACTTTGTTAATATTAATATATGGTATTGTAGCTATATATTTAAGCCTCACACTTTAATTAAATTATTATAGTTTTTAATACATTTATAACTTAACTTATTAATTTATTAATATTATTATTAATATTATATTTAAGAAAATTTACTTTTACTCAAACAACCAAAACTTCTCCTCAATATACAAAAGAATTTATAGAAGCCGACAGCTTGAGAAATCACAAGCACCCCCCAAAAAAAAGGCCTTATTGTAGCTCTCTTTTTTCCTCTTCCCCTCTTCAAAGTATATGGAATTTACTTCCACTCACCAACAACCTTCAAGGAGGAGTTTTGAGCCATCTCCTTCTCGATCTCTTTCCTCCGAACCTCTGCATATTGCTCCACGCCGTGAGCCATGGCCTGGTGCTGGAAGTCGAGCGATCTCGACAGCGCTTGGAACCGGGCGGGATCACAAGCTGATATAGCTGGAAAACAGAGAGCAAAACATTTCTACATGAGCGCTCGAAAGCGAAAAAGCTAACATACCTTTTATGATGTCTGCGAAGAATATGAACGGGTCTACGTTATCAATGGCCGCTTGAAACTCTTCGTCGTCGATAAAGTCATCGTCGCTGTCGTCGTCGTCGTCTCTAGGCTGGAAAGATTTTGCCTGGCGAGAAAGAAAAAATAAAAGCACTTAGATCTATCTAAACAGGTAAAAGAAAATCTATACGACCTGCGATGCTAGCTGTTGTAGCTTCTCGTTGTTCACTTCATCAGGGTCATCGTCGTCCCCGAGCTCTTTGTCCCAGTCCTCTTCGCCAGACTCCCAGCCATCCATGTCGCCGTTCTCCGTCTCTTTCGCGTTTTCTAGATCACGGGAGTTTTCTTGATAGAAATGATCAAACAAATTGAAAGCTTTCTAGTTACCTGCAACCTGGTCCTTGTATGCAATGAGCAGTCTGAGAACAGCTCTGAAAATTTGATCTAGCCCCGATTGAAGTTCTGCTGGCAATGCTGAACCGGGCAAACTAAGTAGGGATGCCAATCCCAAGACACAGACTTTCTTGTCATGTTCCCTGTAAGCTTCCGACAATTAGTTTCCATACCCCATCGCGTAAGGAAAAGAATACCGTCTGAAATGAGCCGGTAGCCCGCTCCTCTTGACAGCATAGAGCATTTGGAACCAAGACTGGAAAACACTGGTGGTTAACCTTAACTTCTGGAGGACGTTGAGGCATAATGCTGGATTGTAATAGAGAGCATTTGCAACCTGCACAAGTGAATACGATAAGTACTGTTATCTGGAAAGAGTGCGCAAGTTACCACTTCTATAAGTAGATCCTTAAGACCGTTTTTTGTAGTCGTACCATATCTATCGAGGCTTATTTTAAGGTAAGGCTCAACCCACTCATCAACCCGACCTTTGCAATTTTGAAGAACGGATTCAATAAGTTTTGGTGCGGCTATAATGTCGGAATCATCCAGCTTCTCGTCAGACATTACCTATAAGAATGGACAAAGAAAATGAGTAAGCGGCAGTTGAGTTATGCATACCATCGATAAGGCCTTGAACAAGCTTTGTTGATAATCAGGAGACTTGCATGTCAAAAAGTGCTCTGTGCTTCTTGATATGTAATTGTCGAGTGGAACGAGTATGTCTACAAGAAAGAATCGGAGTACAGGAAAAAAGAAATTAATAATGGATAAAAAAAACATAATCAAACTTACTCTCGAAGTAGTCTACTGCCCACTCATTCAATGCCTCCATGATAAGAGGCCAGAGAGTCCACATTTCCAAGGATATTGAAGGCGAGTAATACGTCATGTATGACACAATCTCCAGTACTTCCTCAAAAACATCTGGAGCATATTGCGTTAAAAACAGACATAGAGTGCTTTCAGAACTTCACCTTGTCCATCAGTAGTTAACATCTTCCGCATGATAGGAAGTAAGGTTGGTTCCATCTGCGGGAAAAGGTGTGGCAGAGCACTAACCGATTCGAGAATTGTCCCAATGGCTCTTAAACAGCCCATGGCAGCGAGTGCTCCCGAGTCATCGTCATCCTCATCGGTCTCTGAGGACTGCAAGCACTTCCAAAAGGCGGCCGCCTGTCATGGAAAAACGGAAAAGATGAGAAAATCCGCTGCTAGAGGTTTAGACAGTACCAGATTCTGGCATAAACCAAGAGCGTAAGGTGCCATCTCTTCGCCAAACTTGTTCACGATGGTCTCCAGAGTGAACACAAGATCCTCGTTCTCAACCTCGTTCATCAACTTAAAGAACTCTGTAAAGAAGAACTGAAGTTAGAAAGAATTTCAAGAGTGTACATGCACTTGCCATCCAAAAGTTGAGGTAAGATTGCCCGAATCTCCCCAAGATCTGCCAAGAAAAAAGATTCAAGAATAAGGATAACAAGTCGTGATCTGGAGTTACCTTGAGATGCTTCGACAAAGGACCTGAGAGCGATCACAGAATCTACGCGCACTGGAAGGTCGGGATCTTTCAGAGCACATACAACACTTCGTAAAGCTGTCGTAAAATTTGCAGGGTTAGCAAAGGTGATACGCGCATATTGTCCAGAAACCCACGCAGCCTGTAATAAATGATGAAGTTACTGACTGTCAAACAATTGAAGATGTTCCTCTACCTTGGCTCTCAAATGGCCAGCGGGACTGTTAAATTCTGGGTAGACATGCTGAACGAGCATTTGCTCCAGCTGATGCTTGTAAGGAGAGATTTGCTTGAGCCGATCGCTCAAGGATCCGACAGCCAAGAGGGCGCCATCCTTTTGTCTGTATGGCTTTTGATTTGCGGGGGCGGCATCATATCTGTCCAAAATATGAATGTCAGTACATTACATATATGAACAAATAAAGACACCTGTTAAAAACCTCTACGACAAACTGCAAAAACTTTTGTAGATGTTCTTTACGCCTTCTAAAAAGCTCCAAAATAAAGTTTTGTGCAGCAGTTCGAGGGCTGTATAAATCTTCGATTATATCTGCGAAGTGGACAAAAAATAAGGAAAAAAAATCAAGGAACAGAAGAAACAAGGAAAAGTAATGACGAGATGCATACCATATCCTTTTCTCACATACTCATGAGGGTCGTCTCTCCAAAGTTGCTCGTCAATCGAGTTAAAGCACATGAGAGGAAAGATAATCTCGAACAGTATTAAGTCGAGTTGCGGCTTCATCTGTTGGTATGTTTGAGGTTTGGACACGCTGTCAAACAAATAAAACGTGAGATGGCATTGAAGCACAAACTCTTACCATGTGGAAAGATATTGAAGAGAAAGGTTTAAAACTCTATCCGTCAAATACTCGCCCCGCTTGTAGACGCCCAAAAGATTCATGTAAGACTGCAGAAACTTGTCAGCAAAGTGTGTCTGGAACATTTCTGAGAAGTCCGAGCACTTGGATGATTTTGGATCACCAAAGCTGCAAAAGAAAACCCGCCTTAGAGACAAAACCACACGCTAAAAAACTTACCGATTATATAGCCGGTTCACAATGTGCAGAGTCCACTTCTTCACTTTCCACCATCCCCACGACTTACGCATCTCTAGATCGGCTGGCTGGCCCTCCGAAGGAACAGGTCTCTCGACAAGATTAAGGAAGCAGGTCATCCATCCCGTACACGTATTTAGATTACATAGAATGGGTGGAATATCTAGCTGCAAGATGAAAACCGTAAAGATCAGTCACGAAAAGGCGTGAAGAAAGAAATCACATACATATGTTGACGACCAAAAGATCTTGCAGATGAGCTTGATAAGGTCCGCAACCTCAATGGGAGGATTTGGTAACGAAATAAGATACTTCAGGATCTCTAAGAGCACTGGAAACATTGTGTCAAAAATCGCGTTGATAGGCATTCGATCACTATCCTCTTTAAACCTTGACACGCAAAGAGAGGAGCGTAAGTTTGTAAACTCTTGACATGATACTTTCTTACTCGTATTTCCGTGTAAGGATCCGCAATGCGTGCAATGCACCGTTGATCCGTTGTTGATCCTGAGACTTTAGATTACTATCGATCCCCGGTACGAGGGAGGGCCAGCGGTCGGGAAAATCACAGTGCACCATTGTTTTCAAGCATTCGGCAAGCTGGACCCTGTTCATATACGCAACCATTAAACAAATCTCATTCAAGCGCACTGAAAAAGCAAAGCTTTTCCCATTAAAGAACAGAGAAATAAAAACGAAAGAAACTATTCAAGCATGGACGAGGAACTAGTAAATCATTCAAGCATACATAGAAGAAAAAAGAAGAACTAGTACAGACCTTATACAAGCATGAATGAAGAACTAGTGAACCATTCAAGAATACATCGAGCAAACCATTTTTTCGAAGAACTAGTTACAGACCTCAAGAGAGATGGAACGTGAATGAGGGCCTCGAGAATGTTGTTTCGTATGGTGTTCCTATCGGTCTCGGATAGCTTGGGAAGATGGCCTGGAAAAGCAAAAACAAAGCTTTCTATGCTTTTGATCGACTCCTCGCACATCACGTACCATCTCGAGGACTCCACTCGCGAGAGAGCACATTCTTGAAATAAATACTCGCAATCTGGCGCACGGAGAGCTCCAAATTCGTCGAGACGATAATCTGTAGCAGTCGCACCAAATGCCCCTCGGCAAGCTCACACTGCGAGGAAAAAGGAATTCCATTCACATCAGCGCTTCATCCGATCGGATCTAAGACAGAGAGAAGACTGACTGATCGATCTCTCGATCAAACGATCGATCGCCATTACCTGCTTGAGGCGCTCCTCTCCAGCTTTTCTTTCATCGAGGTTCCGGCTGAGAGCTAGCTGCAAGACGGCGACGAGCGACTGGACATCCATTCCCAGTCGTGCGTGGGCCAAAACCCTAGCGCCTCCAACGCAATTTCTGCCCCACTCTAGGGTTTAGGGCTCCTCTTCTCTCTCTCTCTCTCTCACACGGGCGAGACATGGCGGCATTGGCACGGCGCTGCGGCATCTTCCAGCAGCTCGCGGCGCGATCTTCTCCTCCTATCGGTTCGTGATCCTAGTCGTGGCAGATTCACCAGGTCTTAGAATATTTTCAAGCTGAGGATCAGTGCGATGTCGCTCGCGATCGATCTTTGTGCCTTGCGCTGTATATGCTTGATTGCATTTCGGGTCTTCGTGTGAGAGGAGAGGTTTTCTCGCTGAGAATCAAAGTTTTGTCTTTGTGGCATTTTTTATTCGTTCCTTGCGCTACATGCGTGATCGCTTTGTGGTCATTTGTTTGTTCTTGTTACTTCGCTGTTTTGGTGATCAGTTTGTGAATTTATAGTCGTGGAAAGTTTCTATGGGAAAACTCGTCGTTCGTTCTCTTACTCGTTCTTTCAATCTCGCTGAGCGTGTTTTTCTTTCTTCCAGATTTTGATCCACAGGCTAGAGCGCTACCACTTCTCTTCAAGAGATGGGCCACGAAGAAGGCCGGAGGGTCTACGGACAATGGCAAGGATTCCAAGCCAAAGTACCTGGGTTTGAAGAAGTCTGGTGGAGAGGTATGCCGTTCTTCACGCTTCTCTAGATGAATTCTTTCAGGTTTAGCGAGCTTTCGTTGACACGGGTTTTTTTTCTTGGACGATCAGAAAGTTATTCCTGGGAACATCATCGTTCGTCAGCGAGGCACGCGATTCCATCCCGGTGACTTCGTTGGCATGGGCCGTGACAGAACCATCTACGCGCTCATCGAAGGCACGGTCAGATTCGAGATGAACAAGAAGACCCAGCGAAAGTGGATTCACGTAGACCCGGCCAATCCACCACCTCTTCATCCGCTCTTCCTCAAGCCGGAGGAGATCGTGAAGCCCAAGCCGAGGAAAGTGAGAGTCCAGTCCAAGCAGCAGAAGATGAAGTGGTGGAAGCAGGAGCACACTGGTCCCGGGCCGACCGAGAAACGAACGCTCCCAGCGCTGTGCCTGCTGGATCCATCAGCAACACCAGCGGATCCGGGTGACGCTCCTCGGAAGCCAGCGACTAGAATGGCTCGTAGAGCGGCTCTTGCGAAGAAGAGGATCCGCTCCAGAGAATTCAACGCCAAGAAAATGGAGAGGGGTACTCTCAAGGTCTCTAAACCGGAGGAGAGGATCGTTAAGGCAGGAGGGAAGAACACTAAGACAGAGAAACTCCCGGCTTAGCAGCAGCTCCTGGGATCGATGTGAACTATCTTCTTAGCTAGGCTGGCGTCGTCTCTGGAGGGATTGGATCAGCTCGACTCCACAGCTTTTGCTTCGCTTCTTTCCAAATGCGGGGCTACCGGGGACCTGGCACAGGCAAAGCGTCTCCATGCTCGGCTCGCGAGATGGGAGCTCGACACCTTTGTGGGAAACCACGTCGTCAAGATGTACGCAAGCTGTGGCAGCGTGGAAGATGCAAAGGCAGCGTTTGAGAGGATCCGGCCGCGCAATGTTTTCTCCTGGAACATCATGCTCTCGGCCTATGCCCAGAAGGGACACCTTCGCGAGGCAAGGGAGCTGTTTGACAAGATGGAAAAGAGGGACGTCGTTTCGTGGACGACTTTGCTCAGTGGCTATGCTCAGATGGGGTATGTGGACGAGGCCAGGGGATTGTTCGACAGGATGAAGCAGCACAGTGGAGTGTCGTGGAGCTCCATGGTTTCGGCTTATGCCCAGAACGGGTATCCCAGTGAAGCGCTGGAGATCTTCTGGGCGATGAGCCTGGAGGGTGTGAAGCCGAGGACGAGCACTTGGGTGTCCGTGATTGATTCGTGTGGCAGTGCTTTGGCTGTTAAGGACGGTGAAGTGCTTCGCCAAGCAGTGAAAGACGCGGGGCTTGAAGGAGATGTCGTGGTCGGGACTGCTCTCGTCGATATGCTTGGGAAGTTTGGCAAGCCCGAGGAAGCCTGGCGGGTCTTCGCTGGGATTTCGGAGAAGAACACCATATCCTGGAATGCTATCATGTCGGCGTTCGCGCGGAATGATCGTTTCCAGGAGGCACTCCGGGTGTTCCAGACGATGTGCTTGGAAGGTGCCGAGCAGGACAATGTGACTTTTCTCAACGTCTTCAGCGTTTGCTCCAAAGCTCCCACACTGGCTTTCGAAGGTGAGTGCTGGTACCAGAGGCTTTTGGAAGCTGGTTTTGCATTCGACTGCTCTTTGGAAACTGCTGTGGTTAACATGTGTGTCAACTCCCGTAGGCTCGAGCAGGCATTTCGTGTTTTCGACGGGATGATTCGAAGGAGTACCGTGACATGGACGATTGTGCTAAGAGCTTGCGGCCAAAGTGGTGATGCGAGAAAGGCTCTCAAGATGCTGGCGCTCATGGACCAAGACGGAATTCCTCCGGACAAAATCGTTATCCTCAGCGTTTTGGAGTCTTGCAGCTCGAGCCTGAGCTTCGGCAGCGTGCAACGAGTCATCGAACTTCACAGAGATGTTGTCGAAGGTACCAGTTTTCATTCAGACTCTAAAGTTGGAACCGCGCTTATCATGCTCTATAGCAGGTGTGGGAGCTTGGAGCACGCAAAAGCGTCGTTCGATGGCATTGTTCGCGGCAATGTTGCTTCCTGGACTGCAATGATCGTGGCATACATCCAGAGTGGTGAGTGCCACAGCGCCTTGCAGCTCTTCAGCACAATGGACTTGGAAGGTATTCATCCGGACACCGTAACTTTTGGCTACGTTCTCAGCGTGTGTGCCAATGCAGGAGCTCGTCAACACGGGAAAGCAATACACTCGGCTATTTTCGAGGCTGGGATCGACACAAGCGGCGCACTGGGAATCGCCCTGGTAAAGATGTACGAGAGATGCGGCAGCGTGACTGAATCCACAAAGCTCTTCAAGGAGATGCCCGAGCGTTCTCCACACCGGCTGATAGCAGGCTTGCATTGCCAGCAGATGGACGAGAAAGAGGTGGAGGAGATGTTCCAGGCCATGGACTTGGAAGGCCGGAGTTTGGACAGGGAAGCCGCCATCGCCACCATCAGCGCGTGCTGGCAGAGCTCCATCGCCAGGACGATCCACGCTCGAGTTTTAGAGTCCGAGTGGAGCCTCGACTCGAACTTAGCGGCGGCGCTCATCAACATGCACGGGAAGTGTGGCAATCTCCGCGAGGCCAGGAGAGTTTTCGACGAGCTTGGCAGTGGCCGGGACAGTGTGTTGTGGACGAGCATCATGGCTGCGTACTCCCGCGACAGTGGTGCCAAGAGCTGTCAAGAGATCTTCGAGCTGTTTGGGATGATGAGCTTGGAGGGCGTGGCTCCCAGCGGCGTGAGCTTCATCATCGTGCTCACGACGTGCAGCCATACCGGGATGCTGGGAAGAGCAGTGGAGTGCGTGAGGTGGATGATCCAGGATTTTGGAATGGAGGCTGGGGGTTACCATTTGGCGTGCGTGGTTGATCTGCTGGGACGCGCTGGTCGAGGTGATGATGCGGCGGAGGTTGTAAACAGGATGCTTGTAGAGAATAGAGCGGCATTGTCTTTGATGTATTTTGACACACTGGTAGACGAAAAAAGCTTGCATTGATCAGTATTAAAAAAATGCCTATTTTGGGATTGTCTTTGATAGTATTTTAAGAATCAGAAAATTAGTACTGTTGTTTGTTTATGACAGAGATATGCTCAAAATGAATCACAATGAAATACTCATTTTGGGCATTTGCAAAATCTTTGGAATTCTGCAACCATATGATGATTTAACAATGTTACATTTAGAAGTGATGTTATTATTAAGTCTCTTAACAAAATTATGTTTATTTGATGAATTTTTCATTAAAAAAATTTAATTATTTCATAGCAATCTGTGAGTGCTTGGAACTTTATTTACAAGAATGGATGGACCGAATTTAGTCCCTATATTATAATATTATAATTAACATATTAGCTAAGTGTGTGTGTGTATATATATATATATACACACACATATATTTATAAACCTTACATCATGCTCCTATTCAGTAGATGAAAAATGTGATGATGATAAATCATGTAGCATTTGGAGCTTTTACTAAACAATTGTAAATTACTACAAGAATTTAAAGTTCCTATGTATGAGACACAAATTCCTAAACCCCAAAGTAGAGCCAAAAAAATGCCATGTGGTAGTGGCATAAGCAAAAGTCAAACAAGCATAACATGTTTGGACTAAAAGTTTCAATTTGAACAGTTAAGAGTGGGAGTGGAACTCCCAACGAAGTGCTCGAAGAACGAGCATGAAATAAGTAATAAATGAGTCTTTAGAAAAGAGACACAAGAGGACCAATATATGACACGTGGAAGTGTCAAGATGGAGTCCAAGAAAGAGTCCAAGATAGAGTCTAAAATAGAGTCCAAAAATAGACCCAAGACCCAAGTCTGAGATAAAGTCAGATAAGGACTCAAGATAGAATCCGAAATAGACCCAAGATGGAGTCCAAGGTCAAGTTTAAGATGGACATGAGATAGAATCCGAGGCTAAGACCAAGACCGAGATTGAAACTAAGGGCAAGACCGAGACTAAGACTGAGACCGAATTTGAGACTGAGTCCGAGTCCGAGTCCAAATCTGAATCCAGAGTCTGAGAGTGAAAGCCCAAAGCATTCATATAGAGTTTGGTGAGCTCCAAAAGTATAGTAAAGGGAGGACTCCAGTAGAGTCAATTTGACCAGGAAAGGTTAATATGACTAAGAAAGACTATACCCACATATTGGGTGATGATATATTGTAAGCGACTAAATTTTCCATTTTACTTTAGTCACTTAACCTCACCTCCGACCACTTGGAAGAGTCTCACTCACAACCTCCGTGAGTCCTATTTTGGACTTGGGCTTACTAGCCCCGAGAATGGCATCCCCGCCACTCAACTTCGTGCACTTGGTCCAAGTGCTTCATGTGTCCGATCCCATGACCGACACCCCAAGGTACCACCAACATATCAGTCTGTTACGCTAAGACTATGCCCATTCACCTTGGTCACAACGATGGTCTGACACCACCTGCATCCCAGTCCCGTCACTCAAAGACTGGGCCATCCATCCATGAGTGATCATCCCAGATCCACTCCTTAGCATCCTTAGGATGCCCACCGATATGAGGATTAGCCTTCCCCAATATCTCCGTTTCAGTCCCCACTAAGTCCCTTTTCGTCCATGGCCGTGTTCGCCAACACTGCCACTAGATCGAGGCCCACAAGCCCAACCACTAAGTCCCACGGTCCTCTGGGACTTCCTCACCACACGATTGTGTCCTTGGTCACTACC